AAAACAAGCAACATTCTATGTGCAGAGTTTATACTGATGAATAAAAAGACGAGCTCCCTGCTCTTGGAGGATTGCTATGCTACTGCGAGTTAAAGCCAGGTCAATCTCACTTCAAAATCTCTCCCCCCCCCCACTTATGAGTGACAAGGTAGAACAATAGCTGTAAACTAAAAACATCAACTTGAGGCTGGGAATATGTACTTAGCATATACAAGGCTCTAAGTTCAATCTCTCACATTATTAAAAAAATGAGTAGAAGAGAGTGGGGAGGCCCTGCAACAGCACTTTTGAAAACAAGGAGCCCCAAGAGAGGCCTCAGCAAGAAGACAGTTACCTTGACACACTTCACATTTATTCCTGGACACACAAACTTCTTCCAGAGGAGGATGGCTTTGCTCTCCCCACAAGTTATAGGGTAAGCAATTTCCATGTCCTCATTTGCTTCTATAGTGCTTGCATCTGAAAATGGAAAAAAAGTAGTTATTTATCAGACAAGTTTTCTCCAAAGCTCAAATTGCAAGTTTTTAATTGTCTGGGTCCTCAGGACCCAACAGGTTGCCCGTCTGCTGTTGTTTAGGACCCTCTGGAAGAAGTCTGGGAGAACAGCTATTCCTTAGCAAGCTCTCACCATGTGCTACAGTCCACGTTATCTGCTTCTACCCACGGGGTATTGTTTAGCTTTTAATAATCTTGTGAGGCAGTAATCATTTCCTCTGCTTTACACAGAAGTGAATAAGCCTCAGATAAAGGAAAGGGATTTTCCCAAGGACACAGGCCTAAAAAGCAAGAACTCTATCTTTGCTTTTTCTTTTTTTAAAGAACGCTATCTTTTTTTTTTTTTTTTCTTTTTTTCTTTTGGCAGAACCAGGGATTGAACTCGCCCTTGTGCTTGCCAGGCAAGTGCTTATTCCACTGAGCCATCTCCCCAGCCCCAAGAACTCTATCTTTGCAGCATATTTATGATTAAAAATTTTTTCAGGCTGTGTGTGGTTAGAGCACACCAATAAATCCCAGCACTCAGGAGACTGAGGCAGAAGGACTGCCAAAAGTGCAAGGCCTGCTTGGGCTACAAAATAAGACCCTATTTCATTCCACTTCTCCTTTTTTTTTTCCTTTTTGTTTTTTGGCCGGCTCAGCCCGCTCTAGGGATGTGGCTGGTGAGGCATGTGGTTCCGGGGATCAAAACCTAATCCCTGTGCTTGCCTAAGCAGGCGCTTTAGACCGCTGAGCTATCTCCTCAGCCCAAGACCCCCATTTCAAAAAAAAAAACACACACACACAAAATCAGAGACTCTTCAGCTACCTTAGCAGATTGATGCCAATGTGCTGAAAGCCCTGGGCTCTCAGTAGCGTCTCTAGAGGTATCACCATCAAAGCAGTGGTGCAGACTGGTAGGCATACAGGGTGGGGAGGCCAGAAGGTACAAAAGGCAAGGAATCTCAGGCCGGTGGTGGAGCTCAGGAGTACTGTGCTTGCCTAGCATGTGTAAGGCCCTAGTTTCTGACCCCAGCACCAAAAATTTTTAAACAGTAATTAAACTCAACCAAAGAAGTTAAGGTCAAGGGTACTCAAAGAACAAAGACTTACCAATTCCTTCTTCAATTTTGTGTATTGTGTGAGTCTCCACTGCTACAACTGCCGTGTTGTTCTCTGACCCGGGTTCATAAATCCTGTTGTAAAAGTGTCCATTGATAAACAAACTACATGAATTATGAAAAAATTAATATTCATAACATAGGGTGAATTTTTTTTACGCAGGAAGCACCACATTTATTTATATTCTTCAATAAAAGTAAAGCACAATTATATCTTCTTACCTCATCTGTCTGGTGGAAATTAAACCCTCACTATTTGACTTGTGGTTTCAGGATTTTATACCTTGCATGGAATTGGAAGGAAATTTCAGGTGTGGACTGTCTCAGAGACAGCTATTGTCCCACTAGTGGCACTGTCCCTTTTGGTCCAAGTGCCAACTCCCTGTTTCTCACCCTTGTCCTCTTCCAAGGCCAGGCCTTGTCACCTAGACATATGTGGCCAGTCCTCTCCAGAGTCTCTGCTCTCCTTAGGAGATGCCCGGTGAAACCCTGGGTCTTTCTGCTCTGCGTCCTACAAGACCTCCTTGTTCCTAGCCCAGTGAACCTTTCCTGTCTGCACAGGGTGCTTTCCCACATGTGCTGCTCTGAAGCCAGTTTCCTCAAGCACTAGCCCCTCGCTCATTCTTTACAGTAGTCTTTGGTGGTCTTTTAAATCCCAACTCCCATCATTGTCATCACAAAGCAGTTATGCTTTACCTTACCCATGTAGATATGTGAGCTTCTCAACTGTACAGACTGCTGCATTCTTTTTTTTTTTTTTTTTTTCTGCATTCTTTTTGTTGCTGTAGTAGTAGTTGTTTTACTGAGAATTTTTTGTTTGCCACTATCCTTATGCCTCACACAAAATGGGAACTCAAACCAAATATGTTGGTGGTTGGTTTGTTTGTTTGCACTGGAGATTGAACCTAGGGCCTTCACACTGAGCTACATCTTTAGCCATCCTTTTTTCCTCTTTCACTCTTTTTTTTTTTTTTTTT